ACGACCCTGACTAGGGTTGGGGATGAACTGCAACTCTTTGGTCTGCAGGCCAATGCTTCAACTGCTGAGCCAAACTGGCCAGGGCTTAAGTCTATATCTTTTTTTTTTTTTTATCCTCACCCGAGGACATTTTTTTTTTCATTTTTTGTTCAGATAGAGTGGAAGGGAGAGAGAGAGAGAGAAACATCAATGTGAAAGGGACACATCAAGTGGTTGCCACCAGCACAACCCAACCAGGGCCGGGGACAAACTGCAACCGAGGTATGTGCCCTTAGCGGGAACCGAACCTGGGCCCCTCTGGACCGCAGGCCAATGCTCTAACCACTGAGCCAAACCGGCCAGGTCTATATCTTAATGATCTCCCCCAACACAACCCTCTTTGTGTGCAACACCCAGATAAGCTTCTGTCACCCTAGCAGGTTTCCTGTGTCCACACCTCATTTATTGCTCATACCCCTTCCCCAAGACAAAATTACTGTTCTGTGGATGTCTGTCACTGTGGATGACTCTTGCCGGTGTTTGAACATCATTGAAATGGAATCATACCATCTATAGTCTTTTGTATCCAGCTTCTTTCCCTTATTACGTCTATGAGAGTCATTCATGTTGTTGTGTATAGCAGTAATTGGTTCTTTTTTATTATTGTGTGATGGTCCATTGTTTAATATACAATTTATTCTCTTATTGATGGATATTCATTTTGTTGTCACAATTGTTGGCCATAATACATAAAGCTGGGAGTATTCTCGAATGTGTCTTTTGGTGGAAATGTGCACTCATTTCTCTTGTGCATATATCTAGAGGTAGAATCGCTAGGTCATAGAGTGGGTATATGTCTAGTTTTGTTTGGTTTTATCAATTATTCTTCTACCAGAATATATGAGAATTCTGGTGGCTCTACATTCTTGTCAGTACCTGGTGTTGGTGGTCTTCAATTGCACTCCTTTTGGGAGGGTGTTTGTTAAAGTTCATTGTGGTTTTTATTGCAAGTTCCTGATGAGTCATCATGTTGGTCCCAATTTCTTATGCTTGTTCGCCATTTGTTTGTCCTCTTTTTTGGCCCATTCAAATCTTCCATGTATTTTATTAGTTGGGTTATTCATTTTTTGTTACTTATTTGTTGGCATTCTTTACATATTCTGGGTAAGAGTCTTGGAGATATAAATTACAAATATCTTGTCTTACTCTGTAGTTAATCGTTTTACTCTCTTAATGGTATCTTTTGATGAATGGAAGTTCTTCATTTTAGTGAAGGAAATTTAACCATATATATTTTTTATGATTCATGCTTTCTGTGTTCTTTTATAAAACTTGTTGCCTTTTCATCTCTTGGGCATTTTGAGGCAGAACAAAAAATGCTGTAGGAAATGAGCCAGACACTATTGGATTCTTGGTTTTGGATTGGCCTAGGGTGGTGTTTCTGAGCCCTTGTATTTATGAAGCACCCTAGGTTTTACAGGGCTCTTTATTGTCTAATCTCATTTGATCCTGTGCAGGAGCTCACTAAGGTACTTGCTGGAGGGCCTAGTCCAGTTTGATGCCAGAGGACTTGGGTGGCTGATGTGAGCTGTCTGGGGGCTACGGTGCCTTCACCTTTACCATGGTCTGTGTGCAAGGGTGAAGCATTATACTGCTGGGTTCAGAACGTGGCTTTGTAACTGTGAAGGTACTAACCTGTTTGAGCCTTGTTTTTCTCATCTGCCAAATGGGATAATGAGAGTATGCCTGCCTCAAGACATTGTTGTGAAGATTAAATGAATTAGTTTATCTAGAGTGCTAGTGTTGCTCTTGTCACACAGTGCTATTATGTTTGATGGGATCATAATTCTTTGTCAAACTAGAAAGAGTTCTGATCATTGACTCCATTTCTCTTTCAGTCTGTAATATTTTTCCTTCCTCATTCCACAGCCCTCACCCCTAGCCAGTTTTCTCTCTCCTTTTCTCTCTCTCCACTTGTGTTGTGAAAAGCCAGATGCATTTCAAACATGAAGTAAGTTGACACCACCTATGAAAGTGTGCTGTTTTACAGGGACTGACATGGAATGTGTAGAATCACTGAGACTTGTGCTCCTTTTATTTCATTTTAAGGGATGGTGGCTAATAGGGCCAGAGGGAGGGTAAATATGAATAAAAGGTTATTGCTTGATTCCAAAATAAAGAAAGTCGACTCATTTACCTTGGTTCTGGGAAATCCACAAATAAGAGAGTTGTGTAATAGTGGTTTAAATTGTAATGAAGGAAGAATAACTTGGAGCCTCGAGGACTGCTTTCTCAATGCCTAGAAAGCACTATGATCCAGATGTACTTACATGAGGCCGAGAGGAAATGATATGAACTTGCGATGATTGGGTTAGACATAAGTGTGTTAAATGCACTTTATTAATTTCTCTACCACATATAGAAAAGAACTTGTATTTAAATATTTCTTCTTGAAATGAAAACAGATCCTCTTAATTTTCCTGGTTACTAAGGCCAAGTGGCTCACCTTCAGAGCCTCTGAGTTTGTCTGAATTTCTTCTTTGTGGCCCTGAGTGGAAATTCCACACTGTGTGCCATGAAGTTGATGTGGCATTTGTGAGGTCCCTGAGATCTTGATATGCTAGGCAACTACTGTGGTCTCACTGTTTGCTGGAGAACACCTAGCAGGAAAGACTTGGAGAACATTGTCTACGTGATCCCCCAGTAGAGAAGAGGGTGTCTTTCCTTTCCAGGGCAGGGAGAACAGGAAGGAAAAGGTGGGGGTGGGTGGGCAGCCCATGACCATGGGTGTCAGAACTAACTGTACATCAGGATCATCTAGGGAGCTGGTTAAAATACAAGTTTGCAGGCCCAACGCAGAAGTTCAGATTCAGTAAGGTGGGGTTGGGTTGGGGGTCTCCATTTTAAGGTAATGCCTGATTCTAAAGTTGGTGGTCCAGGAACACTTTAATATTCAAAGATTAGGTCCAAGGACTCAAGAGTTTTGAAGTGGGAAGTGGCTATGTAGCCTTTTGATTTCAAAGTCTTAAATTTTTGTGCTCAGCTCTTTGAAAGGTGGAAGGGTATAATTCATTCACTCTGTCCCCAGACTATAGGGTCATCTCTGTGAGTGGTAGCTGCCCGCAAGCCGAAGACGCCCAGTGGGTCTGGCACTCTGAATGGGCTGATGGTAGGAAATGGTGCTCACATCTCAGAATGAGAATTTCTGAGAAGAGGAGGAAGAAGCCTGGCAGGTGCTGGTGGAGAGATGAATTATTATATCTTCTGAGTCATGTTTGTGTTAGGGTGCTGGTGCCCATTATGATCTTCGTAGGAATGACCATCTTCTTGGGAATGCCTCTCCTGTTCAATGCAGCATCTCATCTATCCACTTACCCCCCCCCCCACAATACACCCCTGCCCTCACCCCTGCTACTTCAGTCTCTCTCCCTCTCTCTCTCTCACTCACACACACAGTTACTCATGACCTCACCTATTCACAACCTCACACCAGTGCACCTCAAATCTCCAACCTCTCTGTACGTAAATGTTCATATCTTTGAAAACATTTTTTTCTTAGGGGATGTTGAGGGATGATCAGTGAAAAGAAGTATTTGTGATATTTAAGATACGTTCAACATAAATAGGTCTAGCATATACATTGGAAGCATGGAAGTAAGCCAGGAGCAGTGATTATTGCTGGATTGAATGAATAGGCTTTGGTGCTTGTGGGGCCCGGGCTGGGGGTGCTCAGGGCATGGTGGAGCCACGTGTGTCTCAGTATTGTGCTGCTCTGTGAGCCTCAGCAGTGCTGTGGAATGACGGTAACAGGATCTTATTCTTCCACAATGCACCTCTTCCTCCCCTTTAGGTTTTTTCCAACTTTAAAGATGAGGGTTTACATGAGCAAGTTATAACTTTTTGAGGTGCTGTCTTCTTTGACAATCTGATAGTTTGATTTTTTTTTTTTATCCTGACCCAAGGACATTTTTCCATTTTTTGTTCAGATAGAGTGGGAGGGAGAGAGAGAGAGAGAAACATTGATGTGAACGGGACACATCCAAGTGGTTGCTACCCTCACAACCCAACTAGGGCCGGGGACAAACTGCAACCGAGGTACGCGCCCTTAGTGGGAACTGAACCCGGGTCTCTCTGGACCGCAGGCTGACACTCTAACCGCTGAGCCAAACCAGCCAGGGCTTAAATTGTTTTTACAGAAAAATATGCAGACATGTAGAGGGGGAAGGTGGTTTATGGACTCTCTGGGATCCATCTGTGGACCCCAAGAAAAGAACTGCTTTAATGAGCATAGCTTTCCTCCAGATTCATTTCTATGGCACAAATCTCTTCTAGTGGAGTGTCATCTTTAATGGGAACTCAACAAACACCATTAATATTGTGTGCATGCTTTCTGGAGGTGTTGTGCTCAGTTTGAAAGAGCAAACAGATTTTAATAAAAGGGTGAAGAACAAAAGCGTGTAAAGAACTTAGCCTCTGACATGGCAAGTAGTCACTTAAAAAATACTGTACATTTAATATAATCATAATTACAAAGCCTTTGTAAAACTTCTCTGTCAAAGAAGTTTAGAAGGATTGAACTAGCTATGAGGAGACCAGAATTTCTCCAGCTTGGATGTTTCCCCCTCTTTTGATCTCAAGTTCAGTGATTTACTCATGTGAATACATCTTTATTGTACTTGTATGGGGAGTAAAGCACTCTGTTAAGCATTTTGGAGAACAGGAATGAATAAGATCTCAAGGAACAAACAAGGTCTTATCTGTGTCCCTTACCTCTAAGTAGAGTGCTGTCTTCCCTGTTTCTTCCTACTTTCCTGAGGCACATGGGCTTATTGAGAGGAATTTGGGACCATGCCTTTGCTTTCTGAGATTGGAAGATGGCTTAGAAAAGCTTAGGGGTGTGCCTTTCTTCCTGTAGTTAGCTCTTGGGACCTCTCATTCTGTGGCATGGGTGTTTCTTCAAGGTTCACCTTCGTCAGGATCTCTCTGCCTGGGTTCATATCCATGTCTTTCTTTCTCCGCAGGCCAGGGGTTATCACCATGCAGGCACTGTCGGAGGAGGACCGGAGGCTCTGGATGGAAGCCATGGATGGCCGGGAACCTGTAAGTACAATTCAGGGAAGTAGAGCAGGAATAAAGGTCCTGAATTGTTTGTTGCTTCCCTAGTGTGATGATTGTTGCTGATGCTCCACAGCCTTGGTCTCGAGACCAATGAACCAGAGGGTTTTTTATTTCTGGGCTGGTGTTTGTCAGTGTTGATCTTGCTTTTGTGTGGTTGCCGCCTCTGAGCTTCAGCTTTTCTGTCTGAGCTGTGGGTTTTGCATGACACTAGACCAGAACTCCTCCTTCGTCAAGGCAGTTGTAGCACCCCCTAAGTCTCCTGGAGGCAGAGTCCAGTTTGGCTTATTGAATATTTGTTGATACTTCCATGAAGTAGGATGCAAAGCATTATTTCAATCCCATTTTAATGGGATACATGATCATAAAAGTGTATACAGATTATGCAGTATCTTTTCTCAACCACTTTTGGTTCAGCCTCCCTTTGACATAGTAGCCACCATCCCATTATACACATTGGCATTATTAGGGTTTTTGAAGGGGTTAAGTCTGCTAATGTGATCCATGCTCCCATTTCAGAGATGCTGGCCTCTGCTGGGTGATGTAATCATGTGGTTTTCCTGCATCTTGTGATATATGCAAAACACACGTAAGAGCCCTGGGGAAGTCCCAAGAGTCAGAGTAGTCCTCTTATCTTGATGTTAAGGATATCAACCTCAGCATTCAGCAAATGGCAAGGTCCTACCAGTAAAAGATAAAAAGAATCCACACTGTCAAAGGGTCAGTAATTATTATTACTTGCAAAAGCACTATCCAGAAGGGGAAATGTGTGCAAGGGACATCAGGCCATGACCTTCATTGACTCTAGAGCTCTCTATGTCAAGCTGTGTGTCCACTATAGGTAATTCCAGTTCATTTGTGTGTCTCTTTCTCAGCCTACACTGGTTAGGTGATATGTTTTGATTAATGTACCTTTCTATTCAGCTATTTTTTAATACAAATATAGAATTCAGCTCAGTAAATTAAGCATAAACAAATAACTAGTTATTTGCATAACATCCAATAATAGAGAGCATGATTTAAAAAATTGTTTAAAGATTTTAACACAGTTTGCTAAACTCTAATTAAACATTATTGAATCTGAATTCTTCTCCTGGACTAGAATATAAGATATTCCTGATTTTCCCCTCAATATCTTGTTACTGATACTCTCTCAAAAGCAGATACACACTTCTACTTTTAGGGCTTCATGGGCACAATAGCTGCTTGATATCAGAAGCCTTTGAAAACAGTTTCATAACTAGTCCTTCATCTTTGCTATTATTATCTACCATTAGATGAACACTTTTTTTGTGTGGAAGGCATAGATCTGGCACATATCTTAATCCATTTATTTCTCTTGGAACCTTACAAAATATATATTATGATTCCATTTCACAGATGAGAAAACTGAGATTAAATCACTTGCCCCGAGTTATTCAGATATAAGTAGCTATATCAGTAGGATATAGTCTAGGTTGCTATCACAAAGAGATTTTGAAGTACAGTGGCTTAAATAAGAAAGAAGTTTATTTTATCCTCAGTGCCCAGAAGTGAGTAGTCTGTGCTTGGCCGGGTCATTTTGCCATCCTGAATCATGGCTTCCCAGGTTGTTCCATGCATTGCCATTTTCTGGCCAGATAATGGAGATAAAAACATCCAGTACCCAGAAAGTGCATGCATCACTTCCACTGGCCTACACATAACTATATGGCCACATCTATCTGCAAAGGAGAATGGAAAATCTAGGTTGCACATAAGCAGCCAAGAGCCAAGCCAGTTTCCAGGGCATCTCATCACTTCAAGGAAGAAGAAGAAGAGCAAGAATATGGTGGGGTGGTTAAAAATCTCTACCAACCTGGCTGGTGTGGCTCCCTGGTTAAGCATCCACCCATGAACCAAGAGGTCGCCGGTTCGATTTCTGGTCAGGGCATATACCTAGGTTGTGGGCCAGGTCCCCAGTGGGGCGGGGTGGGGTATGCAGGAGGCGGTCAGTTGATGTTCTCGCTCATCGATGTTTTTATCTCTTCCTCTTCCTTTCTTTCTCTCTAAAAATCAATAAAGAAAAAAATATTTAAAAACAACAACAACAACAACAACAACAAACGTCTCTACCACAGTAGCAAAGCAAGAATTTGAATGTATATCTAGACCTAGACATTTGGTTTTTATCTTTAATAGAGATAAAATGTTAAATTTCCTTCTAAGAATCTTCAGTTCATTTTTTATAATACTTTTCTGACTCTCTTGAATCATTTTTCAACTTGTAGGGGAGGAAATACCCAGGAAGAAAAATCCTGTCAGAGCATACTATTCTTAGTATGGATAAAAAGCCCACTGCTATTTGTGTTTGTTTTTTTCTCCAATAAACTGAAGTGTTAAAACTGCCTTACCAACTCCATTTTAAGCCTCCGTCTCCTCCCTCTTCCTACTACTTGATATTTGTTTTCTGTCTGTATAATTGATCTTCTTAATCACTTAGGCTTTCTCGTAGATTAACATCTGGCCTCTGCAGATGGAAAGCTATGCTATTGAAAGGACCATCTCCTGGCTTCAGAATGTACACATTAAAACAAGTTTAAACACAAAATAATTCTGTTTCTAAACATAATATAAAATAATTTTCTCACAGGGGCCTATAGCTTGCATTTAAAACCATACCTCTGTGTACTTTCCAGTTCCCTAAAGAGAGAGATAAATGCAGACAAATGATGATTGTATAATTGGTGGGAATATTAGGCTTAATTCTGTCTCATTGCTGAGAGCCTGTAGGGAACATTACTGGTGATATACACTCAATAGACAATTAGAAGCTCTAGTTTTAATCACCATTTCCCTAATTAGTTAAATCTGTTCTCTTGGGAATTTTGGCTTTTCTAAGGGAACCAGACACCTTTTTTTTTTTCTAGCTGGTTTCAGAGCATTCCCCTTAATTCAGGGATATGTTAATGGTGGCACCTATCTTTCATTTTTATACTTATACCCTAATTTATTTGTGGTTGATTATTTAGTGTTGGGTTTGAGGGAGGGGGTAATTTTGATTTCTATCCTTTTTGTTCTTTTATTATTGAAGAACACCTCAATGAACCCCAAATCAGTTGATTTAACAATGTTTTAGCTACTCTTTACATAAAGTATAGTTTTTAGCACTCAGTGACATTCTAGTCTGAAGAAATGTCGAATGTCTTTCTAGTATTGATGGAATAGATAATGGAAGAAGAAATTAGGGTTGTGTTCCTACAGTGAGCATTATGGATTTTATCTGTGACATGAATTTGAGTTCAGAAAATGGAAACCCAATTCAAACTTGCCTGGGAAAAAGCTGGATTGATTGGTTTACATAACTGGAAAATACTGTAACCTAATAGTTGTGCCTCCTCTGAATTTGAGAACTTCTGTAATACTTGGAGTTAGCTGCTTCTTTTGTGTTGACTTCATTTCCAGCAGGTTCTTTCCATGTGATAGTGATATGCTTCCTAACTGTTCCAGGCTTACATCTTATTATCAAGAACAGAGGTCAGGAAACTCTTTCTGTAAGGGGCCAGATAGTAAATATTTTAGATTTTGCAGTTACTCAACTTTGTTGTTGTTGTGCAAAAGCAGCTGTGGATAATATGTAAATGAATGAATGTAGCTATGTTTTAATAAAACTTTATTTACCAAAACAGGTAGAAAGCCAGATTTCAGTCATGGGCCATTGTTTGTTGATCTCTGATCTAGAAGTCTAGTGGAAAAATAGCTATGTAATTCCAAAGAAGTCTCATATTTTAATTTTATTGAACTAAATACTTGGATTAGAGGATGGGATAGATGGATTAACCATACCTGATTCACTTGCTCACTGCACTAGAACTGCATAAATGGTGAGGAAAGGTTGACTTCTCCTGCGGGGAAACTGAAGCATTGCTCTATGAAGACAAAGGGCCAAAATGACACAGTTTCTCCCTACTCTGATATCTACATTTTAGTACATTACACATTCAAAGAGCTTGCTCTCTAATGCTTGGCCAAGAGTGAAAACTATGCAGGTTTATGAACATCAGACCTAATGGTGAAAAACTGAATGCTTTCCCCCTAAGAATAGGAACACAGCAAGGCTGTTTTTACAACTCTTATGCATCATAGTCCTGGAAGTCCTAGCCGGTGCAACAGAAATAAAATAAAATGTATACAGATGTGAGTCTATAACCATAAAAAAGCTCAACAAGCTACCAAGCTATCTTGTCAGATAAATTTTTGAAGTGATCCTACTGGATTTTCTTCACTTTCTATTCAGTCTTGGTTGACAGACCATGGGATCACCATTGCAGCCACATAGCTTTTGTTTTCATCTTCTGTGGCCACTGTCTAAGGCTTGGTAATAGACGACTTTCCATATTAAATCAGACATGGAAACCTTCGTTCAAGGTGCATAAACAATATAGTTGAGAGAAATTTTAGAGATAGCAGATTTTCTCGTCAGTTCCTTATAACTAAATTTATCTTTCTTTTTCTCATTGCATATTGCTAGTAAGCATATTTGCTAAAAGCAAGTGAATTAGAATCACTACCAGGCCTCACTTCCCAGCCTCCCATTGCCAACTTATATACATACACATCCAACCTGAAGTAGTCTCTCTCCACTAAGGAAAGCTCAGCAAGTCAGTGGGACCAATAGGGTGACCTAGAGCCTCAGAGCTAGGATCAGCCTCTTTGAACTATGTTCCCAGATAGTCCTTTAGCTGTGTTTAGTGGTGTCTGTCTGGAAGTGCTTCTATTACTTCATTATTTTAGAGGTTTTAGTCGTCCTACACATCCTAAGGATTCTTTAGTAAAATTAAGCATTTCTTCACTTTGAGCTAGTACTTGAATCTCTTCTGACAGCCAGAAGGTTAGAAGGTTGACAGATGCCAGAATTATGTGGATTTAAATTAGGAAGATAAGAAACAGGTGGTATAACATCGAAGATTGTATGTAAATCCATGTATTAGTTTGAAACTATGAAATTGCCACTGTTGTAGGTCAAA